GGATGGAGGTAGGAGCCCAGGAGAAAGATTTGTCCACGATTACTTAAACTTATTTAACAGAGGTGTGCCTACTCCTTGCTGAGACCAGTGTCTGGGGTTAAATGTCCCTGTCCTTCGGCAGGTCACCATCTGTGGAAGAGGCAGATCAAAACAAATCATTTTAATTCCCTGGGAATGTGAGAGGAGGTTACACAGCATAGCCAGGGCCAGAGATGAGACCAGAACCCACATCTCCCACCTCCCAGGACGGGACTTTTCCCTCCACCCTGGAGCTGTCGCCAACCTCAGAGGTATAAGGAGTGTATTGGGCAGACACGTTGCCAGCACATTTCTCTAGGAGCCCAGAGTCTGGGGGTGAGAGAGGCATGCACAAAGCCTTGTGGAGCCCCTGATTCTGCCTGGAGCAGTCCAAGGAGGAGACAGGAGTGGACGAGAGCTTAGGGAAAGGCATCCCAGGCAGAGGGAACAGCCTGGGCAGAAGCGTGGAGGTCCTCGGTAGCTGCGGGCCACTCTGCCGGGTGGTGGCCTTCAACCCCCTGCACAGCGCGGCACACGAGAGGCCGCCTTCGCGTTCTTCCTCGTGGGAGGCCTCCCAAGGACGTCCGGAGAGCTCTGCCTCAGGTTCTTATTGTCTGAGGTCACTGAGCCTCCCAAAAGTATTTCAGGAATGTGGAGGCCTGACTCACTCTCTTCCTTGAGCTCACAGTCCGAAGTTCATAAAACCGCTTTCCCCTTTAGTCATTCTTATTCAAACATCGGTTCACATGCTTCACAGATGGAGCTGGCAGGAGGAATCCAGGGACACATTTTTTGCTTAGGATGTGAAAGTAGATGAGGAGTGAAGGAGATCAAGGAGAGATTATTCACCAAGAGCCAGGCCCCTAGGCAGGGGCTGTTGATGTGCACAGAGAACGGCTGGCTTGCTCAGAGCAGAGACCCCAGCAGAAAGGAAATCGGTGGAAGCAATCCTTTCAGGCCTCAGTTTCCTCATCTGTAAAGAGGGACAATAACCATGCCTACTTCGGAGAGTCATGATAAAGATAAAGATTAAATGAGTTAATCCATGCAAAGCACTCAGAATATTGCCTGATACATTATACGCACTCAATAAATACTAACTTATTATTAATATCATTACTCATAGTTGGCAAAGAGTGAGTTTTCTAAACACAGTGATGGGGAGAGAGGAAGTCTTCCTGGAATAGGATTGCATGGGTTACACCTGAAAGGAAAAGCTCCCCTGCAGTGTGTGGAATTGTCTGGCAGAGGACTGGGACATGGCACACGGTGGGAAGGGTAGTGCCAAGGCTCAGAAGAGAAGAAACCTAAGTGTCACATCTGACCAGATGCCAAAGACAAAGCTGCAACTAAAATACTTCTTCTGGATGGGAAACATGTATCAAAATGTCCAGAGAATAAACAAAGGGGACACTGAAGAGACATTTAGGACGTGGGCTGGGCATACAAATAGCCCAGTGCAAGTTTCCAAATTGGTGTTATTCACCTTATTTCTCCTGGGCCATGTAGGCAATGACATTGTCAGCAAGGTAGGCAGGCCAAGAACGGATCAGATGCTCTGTTTTCCTCCTTCCTAACTCCAGCTCACTTTAGAGGATTGAAAATGCCAGGAGACTTCCAGATCAACCCCCCCCTCCCCCGACACTGCCTCGGGCTATTTGGAGATCTGTCCTAGAGCAGGTCATCAGTCATCAGTTGTCTCGACTCAAAAGTTTGAGTCTAAGTGGTCTTAGCACTGCTGGAATTCTATTTGGCCAAGGCGAACCCCTTTGCCTTTCGGAACACTCTACAGGGAAACTCACTCCTGCCTGACTTAGACAAGGCACTGGGCGCCCCGGCGGAGGTACTGACAAGGGACGCATGCAGCCCCAGAGAGCCTCTGGGGTTCGTTTCGCAGGCCCAGTGCTTTATTTCTTCCTTCTCCCTCAGTCCCTTGGTCCCCCTCGCCTCTCTCCTATTCCAACTGGCCAAAAGGCTGAGCACTTGCCCCTGGGCACATCTGCCATTGCAGTTGACCACAAAGTACGAATCCTACATGAATTTGAAAGGTCTTTTTTAAAAAAGTAAAAATAGTCCTAGTGGAAGAGAGGATTGAAGGGTTTCACTGAAGGCAATTGAAAAAAATTATTAGCCGCTCAAAAAGAGAGATGGCTGAATACATAGGAGGAGGAGGCAACTTCACACCAATGACATTACTCTCTTGATGCATGGAAAGTAACTAGAGAGTTGAGATGAGGTGATTCTTGAAAGAAGGAAAGGTTATTAGATTCCTTACTATTAATCATCAAAATTCCTCAATTTTTTTATTAACCAGCTTTTCCCCCTAATAATAAGATACATGCTTATGGCAAATAATTCGAACAGTGTAAAAGAGAACGAGGTGAAAAGCGAAATTCCTTTTCTCCACTCCACACCCTCTTCCCCACACCTCCCTGAGTCCCACTCCCTAGCAGAAACCGCTCTGAACAGTTCCCTCCACCTCTTTCTAGAATTTTCTATGTACCTTCCATCCTCCTCTCACATTACTCTCCTCCTTAACTCACCCACAAAGGGCCTTCAATCTTGGGATCTTGCAGCATTCTACTTCTTTTGTCAGGAAAGTCCTTCTAGTCTTTGTGTGTCTGGCCCATTCAGGACTCAGCTACTAGCTACTCAGAACTGTCACCTGCTCAGAGAGGCCGCCTGCAACCTCCCTATTTAAACAGGAGTCTCATCGTCACCACCGTTAGATACCCTGACAATCCATGCTCATCACTGTCTACCCAACCCTTAGCACAATGTCTGGCACACAGAAGGTATTTGATAAATACGTGATGGATGCATGAGTGAGTACATTAGCTGCACACACACACACACACACACTCACACACATACACACACACGTATATAGATTCTTACCACAAAATATGAAAGGGATGGTATTACACCTAGAAGTCTGCAAAAATGACAATCATAAGCAACATTTCTTAAGCACGTTTGTTCCAAGGACTATTCTAAGCTTTTTACATGTACTCTTTCGTTTAATTCTTACAACAATCCCATAAGATAGGTACTAATACTATCCCACTTTACAGATGAGGAAACAAAGGAATGGACACACAGGGAGGGTAAGTAACTTCCTCAGGTCACACAGCTTGCAAATGACAGAGCTAGCACATAGAAGTTTCCCTCATAATGACTTTAGCCTTAACAAATATATATTTTTTTATTGTGGCAAAATATACATAACAGAAAATTTACCATTTTAACCATTTTTAAGTGTGCAGTTCAGTGGCACTAAGTACATTTACACTGTTGTGCAACCATCACCAACATCCATCTCCAGAACATGTGTCATCTTCCCAAACTGAAACTCTGCATCCATTCATGAAACAAAAACTCTCCATCCCCTCTTCCTTCCAGCCCCTGGCAACCACCATTCTATTTTCTGTCTCCATGAATTTGAATACTCTAGGTACCTCATATAAGTGGACTCACACAGTATTTGTCCTTCTGTGGCTTATTTCACTTAGCATAATGTCCTCTTTAATTAATATTTTAATGAATAATTTTATTGAATAAAATATTCGAGCACATCATATGAAATTCAAAAGGCACAAAAGGACATAGAGCAAAAATCAAGTTCTTCTCCCACCTCTCTGTCCAGGCACCCCCGGGGCACTCACTCTTCCCAGTATCCTTCCAGAGATGCTCTATTCATTTTGTTTTTGTTTTTTGGTTTTTTTGTTTTTGCGGTACGCGGGCCTCTCACTGTTGTGGCCTCTCCCGTTGAGGAGCACAGGCTCCGGACCCGCAGGCTCAGCGGCCATGGCTCACGGGCCCAGCCGCTCCACGGCATGTGGGATCTTCGCGGACCGGGGCACGAACCCGTGTCCCCTGCATCGGCAGGCGGACTCTCAACCACTGCGCCACCAGGGAAGCCCAGATGCTCTATTCATATACAATTATATGCCCACATATATTTTTTACACCAATAATAGCATATTCTACATTCTGTTCTGCTTCTTGCATTTCCCATTTAACTGTATACCTTGGAGATCTTTCCACTCCTCTATACATAGAACAGCCTCTCAGTAACAAGTTGAAATATAATATACATATAGGAAGTACATATACTGCGAGAGTACCTCTGAATAAATGTTCACAAACTGAACACACCTGTATAACTAGCACCCTGATCAAGGAACAGAACATTACCAGTTCCACCAAGTCCCTCTCTGGTTCCTTTCCAGGCATGACCCATCCCCTCCCCAAGCGTAACCACACACCTGACATCTTAACAGACTAGATTAGGTTTGCCTGTTTAAGTAGCTTTTATGAAAAGAATCGTACTGCATATACTCCCGCGAAGGGCTCGTTTTGCTCACCATTATGCTGGTGAGATCCATCCATGTCACTGACCTTCAGCTGACGTTTAACATCTCTGAATAAACTAAGACCCTTGCTGCTGCCGGTGAGACCATCCCTGTCGGCTTGAGATTTTGCATGTCATACACACATTCACTCAATCTGGCCCTCACAACCCCTGGGCTCTCTCTAAATGGCTTGGTAAATGCCTGAAAGAGTCCCCAGCCAGCCAAACTTCACCTCCAGGTGCCGCTAATGATGAAAACCAGCAGCCCGGTGTTGAGAGGGCTTATGTGGGAGTGAGCAGAGGGGAGGAAGAAGCGGCAGCCTTCCTTTCTGATCAGCATCTTTGCAGCCACAGCTTGGTAAGAGATGCCTTTTTAGGCCTCATCCACTCAGCCAAAAACTCAAATCTCAAATTCCCTGAAAATGAAGAATCATGACAAAGCACTGGTCTGTATTCCCTTTGCAAATGTTACTTTGAAAGTGCAGTTCAAACTACTTCCAAGTAAAGAGCAAAGCAGCTTTAACTAATATCGGCAAAGGGCCTAAGAAAAGAGATGTAGCTAATGTATTCCATCTGTTTGTTTGCTTTCTTGTGCCCTAAGACTCAGGACAAAATACCAGTTTGGCAAAGGAATTGTATATACAGGGCAGGAACAAGGTACCAACAGGGCAAAGCTGGACACACTGTCCAACCTGGGTTGGCCACGTATGAACTTGAAATCCCAAACTTCAAATCAGTCCCCAACCTCACTCCCACCACTAGCCTGGCAATGACAGGAGTATCTATTCCCAGAATGAGTTGTTAAACAGCAGAACCAATCTGCACGTTCATGTGGGCCAGTCATCGCTGCCCTGATTGGCTCAGGAGGCAACACGCAGGACTGCATTCTTGTGGTTTGCCCTTCCAGAAAGGCCTTTCCCGAGCACCACATGCTCCCTGCACTGGGTCCAGCAGAAGAGGGGGGAGGCAAAGACGTGCCCTACGGCAGACTCTGTTTTACCAGAATAATACTGTGCTTCTTGCTTTGGCTGAAGTCATTCATTTTCCCCACATGGGCCTTCTCGCGCAAGGCTTCATTGCAGGAGCTCCAAAAGACCTCTTCTCTATTTACCTGCCAGCCTGTAACAAATAATTATAGTGGCTGCCGGGTATCCTTCCAAACTGGTCGTGATCTCATTCAGTTATTTTAGCAGCGAAAAAAGTTACAGAAACCCCAAGATGATCCCAAAATCATCTCCCAGCTTTCAGTTAGGATGTGGAAAGAGAGAAAAGGAAGAAAGGATAAGCATAGGAAAAGAAGAGCAAAGAGCTCGTGGGAGAAGTTGAAAATAAGTCTTCTCCAAGTCCAGAAAGAATATTCCATTTAAGTGCTATATAAAGGTTTTCTTTGATGAGTGGTAGAGTACTGTATAAGGTGTGTTACTTTCTAGTGGCTTTTCAACCTTGTATGTATTGAAAGGTGTTTGATACCCATTGCAGACAAGGGGAAAGGGTGCATGCACTCCCACAGCGGGTCAGGGATGGGAAGGGTCTGCCAAGGCCATTGCCAACTCTCAGGTCGTATCACTAGGGGCTGCTATTTCTCTGGCCCAGGAGCCTGTGGAGGCTACTCCTGGATACATACCACCCTGTTTGGCGCTATTCCACGGAATTATATCACAGTCCTTCCTGGAAACGTCTTTAAAAAGAGAATGGAGATGAGAAATGCCCACAGGGAACATTTTCATAGCGGTCCACAGTCTCAACTGGCTGGAATCTGAAGAAGGCAAAAAAAAAAAAAAAAAGAAAATGGAATGTTCACCCGAATGATTGAACAGAAGATAAGCAAACATCAGGTGACAGAACAAACACACAGGAAATATGACCTACCTACCTTGGGAAGGGCTGTAGTCCTTGAATTCATCTTGAAATGGGAGGAGGTTCTCACTGACTCTGGGGTTTTGAACCCAAGTCTGAGCAAAAGCTTCAGTCTTGATTCCTGGAAGGGCAGTATAGAGTGCAAGGGCCAAGGGCTTTTAGAGCTGTTGGAGTCTGAGAATCAGGCTCATGTGAATAGAAGTTCCAAGAACCAACAGTAGCTGGCAGCAGATAACCTCTCCAGGCCGGAGGATAGCTGAGCCCTTGACTGTTAGTGCAAGAAGGTTAGAGATGGCCCAAGCCCCAGTCCTTCACTTTACAGGTGAGGAAGCCTAGGTCCAGAAAGGGTAAAATCTCGTCCCAGGTCACATAGCTGGGTAATGGCACAGCTTCGAACAGCGTGAAGGTGAGCTAGCTTTCATTCCCATCCCTCAGCCAACGTGTGACCCGAGAGCAAAGTAGTCGGGGGCAGAAGGAAGAGGAAAATTTATGGGTTTTGAGTCATTAGTAACCCTATCATTAGATACACAGTTGAAATCATTAGCCAGCTAACTCTGCTAATGTCCCACGTCCGCAGTGAAAGAGGCAGTATCTGTCTGACTAAGGAGGGGACTGTTACCATTAGCCCTTTGTGGCAGATACTTTTCTTTCAAGTTTAAGAGTCTAGCAATAATACATATATATTCAATAGAAAGGGATTTATATAACATAGTCACTATCTAAATATACACCTTGATCATTTTATCATGTAGATTGAATGAGTGAACATTTGTCCTTTAATTTTGCCAGAAGGAATAAAAAAAAAAACTTCCTTTGAATTATACACAGAATGATGACAAAGTTATACGACTTGTAGTTTAAAAATAAAATTTGTTAGGTCCCCCTCCCCTTTTTCGCATATATTAGTTTTTAAAAAGTGACTTGAGTCATAATGAAGGTGTTCAAAAAGCAGACACAAAGACAAAAGTCCATTCAAACAGCCTTGGCAGGGTGAGGAAGAGTTTGTCCAACTGTGGAGTTCCTGGGTTGGGGCAAGGGAGAAGGGCATGCCTTGCTACGTTTTGACAAATGGAGATGCCACTGACATGAAGACAATCCCAAGCATATTTTAGATGCTTATTTCTGAAGGCCCTTCAAGGGGCTGAGAAACTAGAACGCCAGGTTGTGGGAGGATATAGACTTTTTTTCTCATTGTTTTCTAATGTAGGTTAGTTAGAACATCTAGAATACTGAGACCTCTTGTTTTCTATTCAAGGTAGATGAATGACAGTTATAGTCACTTAGGTCTAGAAGGACCTCAGAAATCACCTAATCCAGCATCTGCATTTTCCAGATCAGAAAACAGAGCCCCAGATAGATCCAGTAATTTAATCAAGGTTAGCACAAGCTCTCACTGTTTTGCCAACCTCTACTGTGTGTATTGGAGAAGAGTGAGGGTGGGGAAGACAGCATTCCAACAGGTCTGTGAACCTCTCAAAATGTAAGCCAGACAAAAAGTGTATGTAGCGTACTTCCCTGGCAGATTTCAATCTACATGAATTAACTTGAAGATTTAAAAATGTTAAAATTATAATCATTACCCAGCCCTCTAAAAGTGTTCAGGTGTGAATACTTTGGAGAATGGTTTTGTGTTTTCTCAGGGGTGCTGGAGCCTATGAGGGGCTAGATGACTGCTGACAACATGGAGTGGCGGGGCGGGGGAATTGGAGCCAGACGCTGAGAGGCCTCTCCTAGCAAGTGTCACCAGCTTGCCTCGATGAGCCACCCTCATTGTTTGCAGCAGACTACCTTTCAATTCCTTTGGCAGCTGAAGTCTATACTTTTCAGTGATGGTCCAGTCTGATGACAATTGTCCACAAAACCAAGGTTAGCCAGCACTGAACCTCCTTGGCTTCCCCCAAACGCTCTAAGCCTCAATGCCCCAGAGATAGTTTGATGAATGAGCCCACACCCTTGGAGCTTAATAGACTGCTATCACCACTCCACAAGGATGCCTACCATTTATTGAGCACTTACTGTATACAGTGCTCAAGACCTGTTATCTTGTTTCCTCTCCACATCAGCAATGCGAGGTAGAGGTAATGGCTCCCTGATTCAGAAATGAGGAAAGCAGAAGTTAGCCAAGGCTTAGTAACTCACCCAAGTAACTCACACGGCTAGTAAGTGGCAGAACTGGTTGAATTCTTGACTCTCAGACTCCAAAACCTCTGCCTCCTGGGTCAGAGCCCATGCAGGTAGAGCAGCATCCATGCACCCACGTTCCAGATTTCAAGCTATTGTCAAAAGCCCTCTTAATTCTAATTTGTTTGGAATCCTGTCCTCTGAAACTTCATGTTTGTCATGCATACATATGACTTCCTTAGATTTCTCTGCAAATTTCTACCAAATAAAACCATATGCACTTCCATAGCAACACTGCAACACAAATATGGTGTGTAATCTTTGCCCACTGAAGTACACAGCTTGAAAAGTTAAAAAAAAACAATTACATCTGTGTACAGTTGAACTGAACCCCATGGCAACAAATACAAACACAAACTAGGGCTCTTCTCTTTAAGACGTTCCTTCTCTTTGCAGGAAATAATGTTAGAACATCAGAAACTGGGTTGTTAACACTTGTGACTAAGCAGGGCCCCAGTTCGGTGACCGATGAGCCGCCAGGGCGGCGCGGGCCCTCCCGCGGGACAATGGCCCCTGCCGGCCGCGCGCGCGTCAGACCCGGCCCAGGAGCCCTGGCCACCAGCGCTTGACGTACGCGGAGCCCCCGGGGCAGTGGCCCGGGCCTCGTGGAAGCCGAGAGCCGCTTGCGCGACGGAGTCGGGTCAGCTCCACGCTGGAGGCCGGGCGCGACCTGACCCGCAGGAGCGCGGGTGGCGGTAGGGGAGGGACCGGGGATGCGGGGACGTCCTTTCCTGCAGTCGCCGCGCGCTGCCTCCGCACCCCATTCATCCTCCCCACGACCGTCCCAGGGCGGTGTTGCTTTCAGCCACTTTTCCAAACGAAATCCTCCAGCCTCACGGAGGAGAGCAACTTGCCCAAGCAGACTCCGCTGGAAAGCAGCGGAGCAGGGATTTGAATCCAGGACTTTTTTTTTTTTTTCCGCCCTATTTCGCGTGGCTCCCGAATCCTAGGGCGCCAAGGAAGGTAATTTGCGCCCCTTCGCGCCCCGGGTTGTGATTCTTCTGCGAGCAGCCGCCGGGTGCACCTCCTGGGGAGCTCTGTGGGTGGAGGCATCGTCTGTGCTGAGTGACGCAGGTAAAGGCGGGTCTGTCTGTCTGAGGTCCCTGCTTCTCTTCTCTTATTCTCCCTCCTCCCAGTGCCCCAGCTGTTTAAGACTTTCTACGTCTTGACAAATGGAGATGCCACCGACATGAAGACAACCCCAAGCAAACTCTAGGCAACTGGGGTTGTGCAGTGATTTGCTCACGTTTCCCCAGGGAAGGGCCCAGCACTCACCAGCTGATGGGGGTCGGGGGTGGATTTCACTGAGTAAGCGCTGTTCTCTGTGTTTCACATTCATGAACCAGAGAAACTTGTTAGGATCAGCTGCTAAAACCTGAATGCTCCTTGGCTGCTTCCTCACTGGACCTGTGCTGAGGTATCCAATTGAATACTGAGGGGACGGGGGGTGGGTAGGTTGAGGGACATCCAAGTGGTGATAACAAGAAAACCTCCCATTTCTGGAATACTTACTAGGTGACAGGTGCTCTGAGAAGCTCGTGATAATATTTCATCCTCACAAATCCGGGGAGGCAGATAGTATTATTTATTGTCACTTAACACAGGAGAGTTCCAGAGCTCTAAGGGGTCGTCTGTTCTGTCCAAGATCCTGCAGTGGCAGAGCCGGTTCTGCCCAGGGCTTCGGACTCCAGAGCCTGACCAGGAGTGATTTCCCCATAGAAGGGGGTGGAGGCCACTCAACAAAGACACACACAAGATTGTGCCAAGAGAGACCGCATTATTCCTCAGACTCAGGCGGACTTGAACCAGCTTTACGATATGGTGGGGGGGGAGGGGGAGAGGGGTAGGAACATCCCCGCTTCTTGTCCAGATCCAAAGACGGGATCCAAGGTTCAGTCAGGAAGGCCCTTTTTTTAATCAACTGTTTTTTGTTTTCAGAACTAAAGTGGAAATGACCCAGTGAGGAAGGAAAATGAGCACGGCCTGCACTGGTCCCACAATTAAAACATATACGCTGGCCAAAGGTACATCACTCGTCCACCCATCTTCGGAGAGAGAAGGGCCCTTTTTGACCTGGAAGCCTACTAAAGCATTCCACTGGAGAATTCTCTGCCCCTTCTGGAGAGACACTGTGAGAAACCCTTGTTCTTTAGAATGCAGCCGCACAAAGGGTTTTGTGCAAATACCAAGCCATGATTCTATCTATAAATGCAAAGAAGCATTAGGGATGATATGTGAACAAAAGCTGGACAGAGGATGCATGCCCAGATGCTGTCTTGGCCAGGTTGCAATTTGAATGATCTAATGCTTTCTGGCTCCTTCTTGCTTTGCTTTTCCAATTTGGTTTGAATATTTGCATTGCTGTGTTATTTTTCCCTGTACAACTGCTGTTGTCTGTACACAATTAGGTCATTTTCATAGTTGGGTGAGGAGATATGGCAGACTCAAGATGAGCTGCAGCTGGTAGCTGGTTCCCTCCTGGGATGTGTATTTAGATCCCCATCCCTTTGGTCCCAAAGACACTACCTGCACCCAGCATCTAAACGTTTTAATGTAAGTCATCCAACCAAGTGGAAAGAAACACGGCATCCACTGTAATGGATGGGTAAGCACATCTTGTTTCTATAAGTTGTGGGTTGATTTGCTGATCTAATCATACTGTTCCTTGGGCCAAATCTAACCCTGTATTGCTATGCTCCAGACAAAAGAAAGGACTGTTTCCTGGCGGCCTGTGGCTTCTTGGTCTGTGGAAGGTCTGCTGAGGTAGACCCTGGGCAAGGGAGAAGGAAAGGACATTAACAGGGTGAGGAGGAAGGACCAGCTGCCCCCAGAGGTGAACCCAGAAATGCATGTAGATGCTCAGGCCATTACAGAGGCTGGACTTAGAACTAGGACTCTGAAGAGTGAGAGAAAGGGGATCCCAAAGGAACGGAGG